TATTAAAAGCTTTATTAGAAATTTATTATAACTATTAAGGCCCTTTAAATTAATTAAAAGACTCTAATAAAGCTAGCGTTAAAAGGTCTTAATAAGAGCTACTCGTATTAGATTTAAGGTTCTTAAAAATATTAAATTTAAATAATTAACTTTCTTTTTAATTAGCTTAAAGACCTTAAGTATTAACTTTAATAATAAACTATATCTTATTAGTATTACTATTATTATTAGACTTAATATAGGTTAAAAATTTAAGCTATTATAGCTTTTATAGTTGAATTTAATAGATTTAGCCTTAATAAAAGGTTTTTTTATTAAAGATTATATCTTTAACTCGTTTAACTTTTAATTTTAATGGAATTTATATGTGAAAGATATTAGTTAAGTTATATTTAATAAGATAGTTGATTTTTACGTAAGCTATTATCTTAAGAGCCTGTTTTTAAATGCCTTAAAGAGCTTTTTAGGTTATTAAATAGGCTCTATAATTATACGCGATTAAATATATAATATTAGGCCTATTTAAATAACTTATATCGCGATTATTTAATTAAAGCTACTATTAAAGCTATTAGAAGGGCGTCTTTTAGTTTATACCTTATTATAGTAATAGATTATAAAGGTAAATAGTAGCTTTTTAGATCTTAGGCTATAATTTAATAGGAAGGTTAGCTACTAGCTATATTATACGAGCTTTTAACCCTAAAACACCTTTAAACCTTTTAGTAGAGCTGTTTTAAGCGGGTATATACGATCATATAAGCTTATTAATAATACCTTTATAGTTAATTTAAGCCTTATAAGCTATTTAAAGGCTTTTATCGTTATCTTAATAGATTTAATAGATGTCTAATTAATACTACCTTTAAATTTAAGCCTTAAATAATTAAAGGGCTAATAATAAAGTATCTTAAGTAATATTTTTAAGCTTAAAGACCGTTAAAAGGCCTAAGAATTCGTCTTTAACTACTAGATCTACTAACTTATTATTATAGCTAGGCTTAAATTAAAAGATATTAATGTAAATTCTTTAAAAGAGTCTTAAGCTTATTATTCAAGAGCTTTTATAAGAGATAACTCTTTTAGCCTTAGCTTTAAAATAGGCTTTATAATTAATTTATATAAAGCCTTAAATCTTTAATCTAATAGTCTATTTAACTAAATATTTAAGGCTATTTACGTTTAAGTAGCCTAGCTATTAGTACTAGAGGTTAATAGAGGCTATTTTCTAGGGTTAAGGTAGCGTTAAATTAGATTAAAAGCTTTTAATTTAATGAATTTTATTAAATTTAATAATAGGCTACTTAAAGTAACGCCTTATATAAAAGATAACCTTATTATTCTTTAATATAGCTTTTATAGTTTATTAGCCTAAACGCGATACACCTATATACACCTAAAACTTTATACGCGGTATTATAATTTAATTACTTTTTAATTCTTATAACTTACTTCTTAAAAATAATAAGGTTTTTAAATAAGTAATAAATTAATTTAAATAAAGTAATTAAATGCTTTTAAAATACTAGTAAATCTAATTACACGTATTATAAGCTATAGCTTATTATAAGTATAAATAAGTAATTAAATAACTTAAATAATTTAATTATATAACGTAAACTTATATAAAATTAATTAAATAACTTAATAAAATATTAATAAAAGATCTTATAAACTTAATTATAAAGATAAAAGATAACCTTATTATTCTTTAATATAGCTTTTATAACTAGGTTTTAATTATAGCTCTTTTCTAGAAAGCTGTTTAATAAGGCTATATTTATGTAAAAGGTTTAAAGGCTACTTACTCTAGCTAAAAGAGCCCTATTTATATTTATAAAGAGACCTTTTTATAGCCTTTAATTTAAAGCTTTATATTACCTATAAAGGCTTCTTTAAGCTATTAAAGGACTTAATAGTCGGTAAATTAATTAAGGTTATTATAGATATATATATTTAACCTAGAATCTAGAATAAAAGAGTCCCTTAAAAGGTAAATATTCTTATAGATTAACTAGATAAATAACGCGGCTACCTACTTCACGTAATTACTTGCTTCACGTAATTTAACCTATACTTTCGTTAATTATAGCCTTTTTCATTAATTTAAGCGTTTTTTACGTTTTCTGCGTTTTTAGGCCCTTTAAGCTACCCTTATTTTTTAACCTTTTAAGCCCTTTAATATTTAGACCTTTATAGGCTTTATTATTCATTGATTTTTTAGGCTTTTAATACTTATAAAAAGCGTTTATTAGCTTCTTTAATTAGTACTTATAAAAAGCATTTATAAGCTTCTTTAATTTAATACTATTAAGGCTTAAATTACCCTAGCGCTTATATAAGGCCTTTATCTTATAAAGGACCTTATTAATAAGAGCCTTTATTTTAAAGAATACCTTATTATTATTATTAAAGTTAGCCTAAAAACGCGATACCTTTTATTTTTAGGTTTTCCTATTACTTTTAATTAATTTAATTAAAAGCTTATTAATAAGCTTAATTAACTTTCGCTTTAATAAACGGGTTTAATAGCTTCTATTAAATTTAAGCTTTAATTTTAGCGTTAAGCTTTTATATTAGA